CAATCAGCTTAGCTCAGCATGACTGCAGCATTAAGATTGATAATTTTATCCCTGCACACAGAAGAAAATACATATGAAGACGAGTACCAATGTAATGGCTTTGACTTCCAGAGAAGACTCCACCAGCATTGCTGTGACTTTCATCCCCAGCCCCCTAAGTCCAAAAGGATCAACTCTCAAGGGCACTCTTGCCRGGACTGATCTCACAGCCCCAGAGCACAGCATGATTTTTCATTTCAGAGCTTTAGCACCGGGGTCTGCACATTCACCTTCCAAGCACAACCAAGTCTGTGTCTCACAATGACTCTACTCCTACAGTTACGTTCATAGCAAGACTTGCACAGAGAACACCTGACACTCACAACATTATTTTATATATATATACACATGTATATATATCCACACACTATTAGATACTGGCACTTCAAATCATTCTTCCTTCTTCTTCTTTTTTTTTTTTTTTTTTTTTTTTTTTGGCAGTATTACCCCTCTCAATGACTACTGGATAACATAAACTAATTTCACGCCACTGATGATAAAGGCTGAGCCCAGGACAAAATCAATACACCAAAGAAAGCAAGTGGAAAGGAAAGGAGAGGCTTGCTGCAATTAATTAGGGCGAGAGTTATCCATAAGCAAAATAGTGAGGGAAAGGTTCAAGTCATGTAATGTATAAATGATATTAATGAGAGAGCTGGAAAAAGATATATGGAAAAAGAAGGTTGGAGAGAGATTCCTAAGTAGGAGGAGACAGGAAAGATTCATAGAAAAGCWGATACTAAGAGGAAAAAAGACATGGAAAACAATAAAGAGAGAGGGGAAGAGCATGACAGAAAGGAAGACAGAGATGACATAATGTGGTCACTCACTCTGGGAGATTTTCTGGAGGAAGATGGATCTTCAGGGCTGGTTTCTAGGCTGCTGACCTTCACACTCCTTTGAGTCCCATCCTCAGAACGTCAACGTTGCTGCCAGTTACTCCGAGAGCTTCTTCAAGAAAGATTTTGAGGGCCAGGGGATTGCGAATGAAACCAGGATCTTAAGTGCTAAAAACGATCCGCCTGGGACTTTCAGTCCCCTAAAACTGCTAGTTTTCTCCTGGGATGCAAACGGTCCCTCTCTTGGCAGCTAACCACTAAAGGGGAGGCCTCCAGGAGGGGGCATTTTCTTCTCTTCACTGGCTGTCAGATTGAGAGAGCGACTTCCACAGCGTCCCTACCTGGAAGTGTCTGTCCTCTCTCCCGCAGATACACCTCGTCCTTAGGGCTAGGCAAATCTCTGAAAGAATTCTGCTACCTCTGTGGGTATTATCAGCAAAATCTGTCTTTTTCCTTCCCTGGAGGCGTGTCTTCCCTCCTTGCAGAGGTTATTTGGAGAAAAGCCCTCCTGCTTTAGGAACCGAGGGATCTTCTTTAGGATGAAGGATGGCCAGATCAGCACTGGAAATTATATTTTTATCCAGTGGTCAACAGCAGCTGGAAAGGGGACAGTACCCAAACCCAGGCCTGTCTTAYTCTGCCGCTTGCTGACCAAACGTATGTAACTAAAACCACTAGGCGAGCACCTGGGGGGGGGGTGTCTGGCTTGTTTCTCTTTGGGGGGCCGCCCCTCTTCCCCCGGGGGCTCCCCGCTCGCTGTCCGGCCGGGCCCGGGGGAAAGCTGGGTGCCAGCCGGGGAGTCTCCCTGCCTGCTCAGAGGAGGATTCCGGATTCCTCCTCACGCGGCGGCGACGCAGCGGGCACGGGGCAGGTGCCAGGGAGGACCCGCAGCAGCCCCCCCAGGGACGCGGCGCCCTCCCTGCTCCGCTCCACGAGGGAGGTCTCC